AAAAAAAAAAAAAAAAAAAACCTTTCGTGCTCAGATGCTAAGTCGATTCCCCACTCCACAGGGTTCTCAAACTTCTTCCCTTTAGCCACAGCTTCCTCAAGCAGTTCTATCGCTTTGGTGTACGTTAAACGACCAAACGGAGTCGATGCAACAAGTTTCAGCCTATCAATACACCCTTTATCGAAGTTCTTAGCCATGAGTTCCATGTCATCATAACGTTTCTCAAGCAGCCACTTGCACATGTATCTCACATACGCCTCTGCGCAGTTCATATCATCCTCTAGATCAGCAAAAGCTAACTCAGGCTCAACCATCCAGAACTCAGCAAGATGCCTCGAGGTATGAGAGTTCTCTGCCCGGAAAGTAGGTCCAAATGTGTACACATCGCTAAGACCACAAGCGTAAGTCTCCACTTGTAACTGACCAGATACTGTTAAGAAAGCTTGACGACCGAAGAAATCTTGTGAATAATCAATCTTTCCATCGACTTTAGGTAATCCGGGTTTGAGCCTTGACCTCTCTTCAGTCCTAGCTAAACTCACTTTTGCTTCATTGAGTTCAGAAACGGAAGCGGTGATCTCTTCCTTGCTTGCTTTAGCAGCTTTGAGTTGCGCTACAGCTTCACCTCTCGCCTTGACAACGAGTCTAGCGGCTTCTACGTCGGCCTCGGTAGGTGGAGGGTTCTCAATGAGATCCCTCTCCAGCTTCTCGGTATGGTTGATCAGAGTGGTTACTTGGAACATCTCTCCAGCACCTTCGCAGTCACTTGTTGTGATGATTGGAGTTTGAATGTATAGGAAACCTTCTTCGTCAAAGAATGTGTGGGTCGCAATAGCAAGTGCGTGTCTAATTCTTGCAATTGCAGAGATCTGAAACCACAGGGAAACAAAAACGGAACAATCCACTTTAAACCTAACTTCCTGATCAAGTAATCATTTTTCGTTTAAGTCTGTAAAGAATCTCAATAACTAAACCAAACCCAAGCACAGTTTCAATCAAAAGAATTGACCTTTATACCACACGGAAACAATAACAGGAGACTCAATTTAAACTTAATTCAAATCAAATAACTTCTGTTCAAGTAATCATTTTTCTATTAACTCTGTACATAATATCAATAACTAAACCAAACCCAAGAACAGATTCAATCAAAAGAATTGAACTTTATACCACATGTAAACAATAACAAAAGACTCGATTTAAACCTAATTGAAGTCAAATAACTTTCTGATCAAGTAATCATTTTCGCTTAAAGAGGATCTCGCAATTGCTGAGATATGAAACCACAGGCACTCAAAACCTAATTGAAATCAAATAACTTCATGATCAAGTAATCACTTTCTCCTAAGGCTGCAAACAATCTATAATCATCATCGTCACTGAGGCAAACAAAAACAGGACACTCCACTCATACCTAATAAAAATCAAATAATTTACTGATCAAATAATAGTTTTCGATTAGGACTGTAAAAGAATCTGCAATCATCTTCACTAAAGCTAACCTAGACTAGTCTCAATACCTAAACCAAACCCATGAACACTCCACTCCACTCTACTCTACTCCTAACTTTCTGATCAAGTAATCATTTTTTATTAAGTCTGTACATTACCCCAACAACTAAACCCTAAACCCATAAGCAGAAGACTCCACTAAACCCTAACTTTCTAATCAAGTAATCATTTCCCAATCAACTCAACACATAATCTCAATAACTAAACAACCCCAATCAAAAGAATCAAACTTTATTACCGAATTGGTCCTAGCACGAAGATGAGGAAACTCTCTCAACCTCTCAAGAGTCAACTTCGTCTTCGGAATCGGATACGTGGCAGTATCCACCACCCCAACATCAACCACCTCCACAACACTAAGCTCAACCTTCTGCTTCGTCCCTTTGCCTTCCGGAGGAATCTTCAAACACCCTTCAACAGTCACACAAGTCCCCGTCGCAACCAGCTTCGATAAATCCGAAACCGAAGCGTCCACCATAACCTGGAGATTCGCTGGACACGACCCATCGTTCACCTCGAGGAATGCGAAAGACCCTTTTCCTTGCTCCCTTCCGGTTTTCACCCACCCGCTGATTCGGACTTTCTGACCCGCGAGCCCGGCTCCTCCGTCGGGTCGGGTTAGGATCGACCGGATTCGGACTCGATCTGAGAAACGAGCTTTTTGTAGTGTTGAAGATGAGGATAAGGTTACGGCGGAGAATTGATCTGCCGGTGGAGGAATCTCGTCGCACATTTTGGTTATCTCTGAGTGTGTGTTTTTTGGGGCGGTGGAGATAAAACCCTAAAATTGGGTGAAGCAGGAGCTTTGGAGGGGTATAATTGGAAATTCACACCCCAGGTGGTGTGATTTTGTAATTTTTTAGCGTAACAGTTATTTTAATCATCTTTCCAAGTCAATGTAAATATTCTTAAGGTTGTCAGATTATTATAGTTTTTTTTTTTTTTTTTGAGAAAGGGCGGGGCCGCGGGGGAGGGGGGCTATCAGATAGTTGACATTGCCGTCCCCGATGTTTACATAAATTAGTTTTTTTCTTTTTTTTTGGGCAAACATAAATTAGTTTTTGTAAACATGTTTGAACACAAATATATAAACATGCATAAGATGATGTCCTGTAAAATATAAACTAGTTGCAGTTTAGAATTCAGCGATTAAATGTTGAAATAAAATAACGATGAACATGTTGAAAAGTAGGAAAAGTCACCACACTATGGGAACACAAGACTTAAACTCAGAATAAGAAATCAGAATTTATGTTTCTCTTACCATTTGACAATAATCATTTCTACAGATATGGACCTAAATATTTTTAATAATTGGTGATTTAAGGACATCTCCAAACATTACACCAAAGTAATATTCTATATTATTTAATATTTTTATTTTAAATATTTTTTATAATTGATAAATAACTGTTTATCACATTTACATATTATAATATATTATCATTTTTCTTTTTTGTAATTTAAGTTAATAAATTGATACATTTATATTTTCTAAATAATATTATACTATAAATTACAAACTATTAATTATGAAAGCACATAACAGAATAATATATTTATTTAATAAAAAAATTATTAGCTAGTAGTACAAGTTTAATTATATTAAAAATAAAAACTAAAAAATTATTTTAGTATTTGATTAATTTGATAGTACTACATAAAGTTTTAAATATATATTTACTAGGTAATATTATAAATTATTAATTACTGATTAAATATAACTTAAATAAAGATTATAGTTGATATTTTAAAATAAAAATATATTACAATCATTTAGTGATTTTTACTTGAAAATAAAATAACAATTTCTGTAATAATAATTAAGAATACAAATAATATACTATATTCAAATACAGCTACAAAATTGATTAATAATAATTATTATTATATTATATTATTGAATGAAACATAATAAAATATTTATATTCAATATTTGGTGTGATAAATAGTGTTACACCACTATACACCATTAATAATAATTATTATATTATATGATTAATAAATAATAATTATTATATTATATTATTGATGTTTTGGTGTTTTATTGGAGTTGGCATAAAGAGATTTATAGAAAAGACGATTCGTTTTTATTTTTGATAAATTCTAATTTATTTGGGATTTTATATTATATAAAGAAATAAACTATTTTATTGAATTTTATTTTATTATTACTTTATATAATATAAACTTGGATGTAATAATTTAGATTGATAATATTGTTTTGTACAATGTAACTGTTCGCATATCTCAAATTTTAACATTTATTGAATTTTTAACAAATAATATAAAAATTTATAAAATAACTGAAATAAATTGGTAGCAATTAAAAATATAACAAAATTTGTTATAATTAAAACCATACATAAATCATAGAGTTGGCTTACCGGGGCAAATAAATTTGAATTGGCTTTTTATTCATGTGCATTACAGTTGATTTCTGATCTAGTTCTTTTGGATAGAAAATATTTAGACCCATATATATGTATTCATAAAACTTTGTTTGGGTTCTACTCGAGTTTGTTTAATCAACTCTAGTTCAAAATTTTGAATTGAAAACAACAAATACATCATTTGAAATACAAAATCATTATTAAAATTGTTAAAGAAACTAGTTAAATACCATGGTAAACATCCCATATGAGGGAGACTATACTCTAAAGAAAGCAAACCAAAAAAACATCAATGAATTTGAATAAACATAGTAGGTTAAAACAAACCAAATCTATCCGGAATGAAAGAATCAAACCAAAAAATGAGATCTAATTTAGGTTTAGATCTTATCGATTGTCTTATATCTTTAGAACGGAAAATCAAAATCAAATCAGAACCAAGTTCGTATTTCTATAATATAGTTTACATATCTATAATTATTAATTATATATAGTTTAGAAACAATCAAATAATTTTAAAATAATATTTATAAACTGAATAACTAAATTGCTTTTTGTCCGAAATATAAAAAAAAAACAGAATTATCCAAATATTATCCAAAAAACAGGGAAAAAAACTAATTTTCTGGTTTATAACCCGAATTAACCAAAACATTTGAACCGAATGAAATCCAAATTACCTCAGAAATTAATTATCTCAGATATTTAACATGTTTCCAACTTGTAGAATCAAATGCCAGGGATACTGTGAATAAATAAAAGACTCACCCATTATATCGTACCTGGGCGTCGTGACCACGTAACGTTGTATTCAATTATATTGTTTTTTTACTCTCTCAAGATATTAAAATTTAAGGATATTCAAGGTGTGTCTGGCCGTTGTCAAAAGTCAGCACCATGCCTCCATTGGACTTTCACATTTGCAAAATAATTTCCAAAGCATCACGATCATCGTATCGGTAAGAGAATGATACAAATTCTCTCTTATCATTAGAAGCATTTTGTTGTCATCTTCTTCTTGACTTTCCCTGCCAAAAGACATCCTCCGTCTGTTCTTCTTTTGGTCAACTCACTCTTGATCATTTATGGGCAAATCAAGATCCATGGTCAGACGCTTCTTGTTGGTGATCTTCCTACAGATCCTTGTTCAGGCTCATAGAGCAACATCAAAGACGACTACAGAGTTCCTTTTTCAAGGCTTTAATGGAAACAAATCAAAAATTCAATTAGATGGAGATTCAGCCATCACGCCCAACGGACTACTAAGACTCACCGAACGAAAGCCAGACCTTGCGGGAACTGCCTTTTACGATAAACCGGTTAGACTGCTCGACAATGACTCCACGGTTCGTTCTTTTAGCACTTCTTTCGTCTTTGTCATCATCCCTTCAAGCTCAAACAACGGCGGTTTCGGCTTTACATTTACACTATCTCCAACCCCAAACCGTCCCGACGCGGAGAACGCGCAGTACTTGGGCCTCCTCAACGAAGATAACGACGGTGATCCGGACAACCACGTATTCGCAGTGGAGTTCGACACGGTCCAAGGATACAAAGACAGCACAAACCGAATAGGCAACCACATCGGTCTAAATTTCAACAGCCTCTCTTCACAGGTCCAAGAACCCGTGGCTTACTACGACAAAGAAGGACACAAAGAAGATTTTCAACTCACGAGCGGCGAGCCAATCCAAGTCTTTATCGATTACAACGGACCAACCAAAAGGCTTACCCTCACTGTCTACCCGACCAGACTCGGATCCAAACCGACAATACCTCTCATCTCCCAAAGGGTTCCTAAACTAATAGAGATCGTGCAAGAAGAAATGTTTGTCGGATTCACCGCCGCCACAGGGGAGGAGATATCGAGTTCGCATTACGTGATGGGTTGGAGTTTCTCAACCGGTACGTCCCCAGCAACGACGCTCAACATCTCGGCCCTTCCTCGCCCGCCTCCGAATACGTCGAAGAAGGCCAGATTCAACAAAGAGGTCATCTCCCTAGTGGTGTCTTTAACGACTGTTGTAACGCTTATGTTAGTGTTATTGATTGTCTTGATAATATACAAACGGCGTTTGCAACAAGACGATGTTCTAGAGGATTGGGAACTCGATCATCCACACAGGTTTCGATATAAAGATCTACATACAGCTACGGATGGGTTCAATAAGAACAGGATCATAGGAACGGGAGGATTCGGAACTGTTTACAAAGGAATGATAACCACGTCATCATCCTCATCATCGTCAACATCATCATCAACATCTCCGTCTGGCGAAATCGCAGTCAAGAAGATAACTCCCAACAGCGTGCAAGGCATTCGAGAGTTCGTAGCCGAGATCGAGAGCTTAGGCCGTTTGCGTCATAAAAACCTAGTCAACCTTCAAGGATGGTGTAAACACGGAAACGATCTACTCCTAATTTACGATTATATCCCTAACGGAAGTCTAGACTCGCTTCTCTACAGTAAACCTAGGATAAGCGGCGCCGTTTTAACCTGGAAAGCGCGTTTTCAAATCGCGAAAGGAATCGCGTCTGGCTTACTCTACCTGCACGAGGAGTGGGAGAAGATCGTGATCCACCGAGACGTCAAACCTAGCAACGTCCTAATCGACGATCAGATGAACCCTAGGCTCGGCGATTTCGGACTCGCGAGGCTCCACGAGCGCGGATCCCTCTCCCACACCACCGTCGTCGTCGGAACGATCGGTTACATGGCGCCGGAGCTCACGCGGAACGGAAACTCCTCGTCCGCGTCGGACGTTTTCGCGTTCGGCGTCTTGCTGCTGGAGATCGTCTCCGGGAGGAAACCGACGGACTCCGGGAGCTTCTTCTTGGCCGATTGGGTTATGGAGTTGTATGTGAGCGGCGACGTGTTGCGTGCGGTGGATGCGAGGCTCGGATCTGGTTACGATGAGAGGGAGGCGAGGCTTGCTTTCTCCGTGGGGTTGTTGTGTTGCCATCCGAAAAGGGGATCGCGTCCGGCGATGAGGATGGTGTTGAGGTACTTGAATGGAGACGAGGAGGTTCCTGAGATTGAGGTGTACTCGCATTCTTCGAGGAGATACTCACTTCCTGATTTGAAAGAGTGATTTGGTTCTGGATTTTTAGTTTTTGTGTTTGGAAAATTAGTGTTATGGATTTATTTAATTAATGCAATTGTATTTTGAAATTTAAATAATTAAAAATTGATTGATACAGTGTTTATTTCTAATGTATATTAAATTGATCTAATTTTCATTTCAAAATCTCAAATGTAAATTTTTGTCAAATTTCAATTTATAGATTTTTTTCTCCATCAACGGAGACAATATTCATAGAACATGAAAATATAGTCATCTTGGCTAAAAGATATGAAGCAAAGAGAGCATATAAAAATAAGGGACAAATATCACATATAAACAAAGGTGAATTGGCTGAAAATACAAGAAGAATATAGTAATTAAAAAATTATCTAAATATTATGGAAAATAGTGGTGACGGAGGGAAAAAAATTGGAAAAAAATTAGGTATGAAGTGCAAATATGGTAAACGTTGTAGGTGTGGAGTACAAATATTCTATAAACAATTTATTACTTAAAAAAATTCTCTAAACTCAACGACTATCAAACTAAAAATTGAGAGGAAAGTTTGGGAGTTAAAGACCATAAACTCAACGACTACCTAAAAAGGCGCAGATAAAAATTTTGGTGGCACCGAAGGTGTGCAATACTAAGGATATGACTTTATGTTTTGTAGATGCAGCGTGGAATACTGGCACAAGTGGCGGAGGATTTGGCTGCATCTTCAAGGACACAGACGGTCGAACCCTTCATCAATCTTCCTCAAATCGCAGCAACGTCGGCTCTGCCTTGGTCGCAGAAGCTTTTGCGATTAAAGCTGGCTTGAAAGCAGCAAGGTCTCTGGGTTTGTACAATTTGATCATCCGATCAGACTCCAAATCCCTCATTATGGCCATCAATTCTAAGGAGAAAGTTGTGGAAATTCAAGGATTGCTATTTGATATCTCCCATCTTTGTAACTCCTTTTCCTCTGTTTCGTTTGTTTATGTTTCAAGAGTATACAATGGGGAAGCAGACACCTTGGCAAAGGCTGCTCTGTTTCACCTCACTAACTCTGTTTGATCCTTTTTTGAAGTAATGAATGGTTTGTTCAAAAAAAAAAAAGACCATAAACAATGATATGCATCTCGAGATTGAAACATCAACAAATGCAGAGTTAACAATTTTTAGTATGGCTAAATAGTCTTTGATTAGAATTTACAATATTTGAAGTATTTCTAATCTTCAACATTAAACACTCAACACTAAAACCATACAAAATAGTTGATGAAATTTAGAAAAAATAACAAATTCTATAACAAAAGAACCGGGATAATAAACGTCTGATAATACATGATCAACAGAATGAATAGGAATGTGAGACATAATCCATCAAGCCATATAGCTGAACATAAAAAGGATTTGAACATAAAGTTATAATTGTATAACACAATAAATGGACGTCTGATATGCATCTCGACATTGAAACATCAACAAATGCATAATTAGCAATTTTTAGTGCCATAGCCTTTGATTAAGGCTTTAATATTTGAAGTATTTATAAAACTTACAAAGTAGTTGATGAAACAGAGAAAAAAAACAAGTTGAAAATGGAATAATAAACATATAATAAAACCTGATCAACATAATTAATGGAAATGTGAGACATTAATCCATCAAGCTATCATAGCTAGACATAAAAAAGACTTGAAATCATAAAGTTATAATTGTATAACACAATAAATGGATTTCAAAATGCAATTAAAAGTCTCACCAAAGTAAGATCTAGAGACGAACTACAAGAGAATTCAAGATATCAAACCAAAGATATCAATAGATCCCTAAAATGTAAATTCGAGAATCTCTGATATAAAACCTGATTTAGTGGGAGAGGGGAGAGAAGAAAGAATCAATTGTTAGATCAACAAACACACATTAACAAACTTAATGAGTGGGAGATGAAAATATATGATTTGCTGAAAAAAGAAATGGTGAGAACTTGAATTAACACACCGGCAAAAAGATTAACTATACAACAGAAAATAAACTCTAAGAGGCAATGCTTGTGTCACCTACAGTTTCTACTATCTCTAGTTTACTAAGGTTTTCGATTTAAACTTGAGGTTTATATCCTCACCAGTCACCATGATCGAAATAAATTCAGACACTAAAATTAAAAATTATGTTACTACAATATAGCATTTTCAACACATTTATATATCAATATATAATTCAATTTTTTTTTTGTTGACAACTCATTTAGGTTTATATTCTAAAGTGTAAATTGCTACCTTTTTTATATTCTTATATATTTAGTGGAATAAATACTCAGATATTATTTTACAAAGACACAATTTTATTGGGCTTTATAGGCCTGAGACCCAATAGTCATTTTTACTATCGGTCCATACGTATAATCTCAGATTAAAATGTCGTTGTCGAGTATATAAATGTATATATGATCAGCGCGAAAACCCTAACTCTGGGATTACACACTAGTTTCAGCTTATTACAGCCGTCAGAAGAAACAGCAGAGAAGCTAATCAGCCATGGGTAATCCCCTCCCACAGAGCTTCTAGATTGTTGTCTCGCTATAGATTTAGTGGAAAAAAAAACAAATCGTTTCATTTGGTGAAATATATATAATTTTGCCTACGGATCTGTTAACGATGCCTTTTTATCGATCTCAGGAAAGGTACACGGATCTTTGGCACGTGCGGGTAAAGTGAGAGGACAGACACCGAAGGTAGCGAAGCAAGATAAGAAGAAGAAACCAAGAGGACGTGCTCACAAGCGTCTTCAGCACAATCGCCGTTTCGTTACCGCCGGTAATTTCTCCCATCCTTGTCCATAAGACTTAGCAAATTACTTTACTGATTTGGTTGAAATGAATTGAGATTACTCTAAATTGATACTAAAAATTTATGGATAAGTACTTTTGTTTATTGATTACATCTCTTTGGTTAGGAGATGACAATGTCTCATTGTTTGAAATGTTTTATTTTATTACATTGATTGTTATATGTTTGGTAATGGTTTTTTGCAGTTGTTGGTTTCGGTAAGAAGAGAGGACCCAACTCTTCTGAGAAGTAGAAAGATGGATAGATATGTCTGGAAAGAGAACTTCTCATATGGGCTTAGTTTGTAACCTTTTTTGAAAATCCTTTTCGTCTGTATTAGTCATGTTTCTTTGGTAAACTTTATATGTTTTGATTGCATGCTATGAAATACGATTTTAATTTTGAGTCTCATGATCAGCTTCCAACACAAACAAACCATGTTTAAAATCATTTAGTTTATATTCTGAGACTAATAACCCGACAAGGGTCTTTTATGGTTTGGAAATATGCAAACCAGATGATAAATACAAGTTGTAGTAAAACCAGACTGTGGTTTCAGAGTTCGTCACGAGAGCCTTTGTTTGAGTCTCTGAGGTATTGTACGGCCATCGATGCATGGATTGCAGCACCGTACGGAAGCGCATCTTCGTTGACTCTATAGAGCGATGAATGAAAAGACGCATAACTTTTTGTGTCATCTTGCATTCCAAGGAAGGAGAAATGGCCAGGGATTGCTTCTGCAAAGTTTGAGAAGTCTTCTCCTCCCATAAGAGGCGATGCTTCTACAAAGGACTCTTCACCCAACAAATCTTTCACCATGTTCTTGAACTGCTTGTGTAAGTTCATATCGTTCACTGTTGGTGGGACTGATTCTTTACCTTCTGGTGTTAGATTCACTGATGCATTGCACCTGTTAACTGTTGCTTGCATGGTTATAACCTAGAATCACAAGATGAAACAGTTTAAACCGGAAAATCTAAAAACAGGATCTTGAATCAAATCACCTCTTTGACTCTTTGTTGAAGCTGAGAAAATCCTTTAAAGGCTCGGAGAGTTCCTCCTATTGATGACATTGAAGGCATTACCTCCATGAACCTTAGAAACTGTAACCACCTACAGAACAATGAATTGTGTTAGAAGAAAAGCCAAGACCAAGTAGATGAGGTTTACGTACAAAAAAGAAATGGAACCTTTGAGTCCAAAGGATCAGTTTCACGTGAAACAAGATGTTGAAGACTTAGGACAACGCTTGAAGCTGCAATGACTGGATCTATGGTATGTTGTGGGATGGCGGCATGACCTCCTTTACCAGTTATTACAGCCTCGAAGAAGCCAGATCCAGCAAGTATGGAACCTGCAAGTGAAGCGGTTTTGCCAAGGGGAATCCAGTTGGCAAGATGAATCCCGAAAATGGCTTCGACGTGCTTTAAAGCTCCTTCTTCTATCATCTTCTTTGCTCCGGCGAAAACTTCTTCAGCTGGCTGGAAGATAAGCACCACAGTTCCCTAACAGAAACACAGACTCACAGAGTATTGGTTGTGCATATACATGTCCTAGGTTATGTTACTGATGAAAGCCAAAAGGGTAATATAGAAAGTGATTGTAAAACCTGCAAGTCGTGGCGATGTTCTTGAAGCATTTTGGCAGCACCAAGAAGCATAGCAACGTGACCATCGTGTCCACAAGCGTGCATTTTACCAGGAACTTTGCTCTTGTGCTCCCATTCCACAGCTTCCTAAATTCGAGTATCAATCAGATTTTATGTTATAGTTGTGAACTAAAAGAAGTGATTAAGACTATTCGAAGAATCAAACTGAACCAAACCGACAAAAATAAACAGGAATTTATAAATAGCTAAACAATTTTTATAATTTTGTATCTAAAATATTTGAATCAAAAACAGAATGATACCAATATAAATTATATTTAAACAAAAAATTACAAATTAGGTATTTCGTCCACTATATACATTTTATCATTACTTATTAATACATGCATTAATAATTAAAAGACTAAAAAGATAAACTATTATTAATTTATGACTTTTAATTATATAAAATTTAAAATTTTTACTTGATAAATATTTAGTTATATATTATCTATTTTTTAATTTTAAATTTTTACTAAAAGATTTTTCGGAAAAAAAAATATACATAGGAATTATTATTTTTCTTTATTTTTTTTTAATTTTAGATAATCCTTATTATTATTAAATAAAACCAAATTATACCTGAATTGTTTTAGGCTATTAAATAGTTTCTAATTTTATCATCTAAACCGACTTGATTCATGACTACTTAAACCGGTCTAAACCATTTTTTCAGTTTTTGGGTGAATCCTAAACTTTCTTATCCTATCCAGTATCCAAAATAACCGATCAAAATAGAGTACCTGCATAGGTAACGCATCCATATCAGCTCTAAGCGCGACAAAAGGCGCTTCTCCCGTGCCGATATAACCAACAACGCCGGTGACAGCGACTGGATACCTGAACTTAACTCCCAAGAGGTCCAGCTCCGACCTGATGAGTTTACTTGTCTCGAACTCCTCGAACCCCAGCTCCGGATTCTCGTGGAGTTTCCTTCTGATTCTAACCATCCAATCGAAAACTTCCGGACTCTTGGCGAGCTCAAGGAACTTCTTCGGGGTGATCAGAGAGGATTCAGATGAAACATGAAGTATAAGGAGAAGCTGGAAAGTCAAAGCGAAGAGCAAAAACTTGTTGATAGCCATGAGAGGAAGAAGACAGAAAATCTCTGAATCTTTATTGACTGATCAAGATGAGAGAGTATAAGACACTGACAAACTCATGATATTATTTCCATATAAAAAAATGTTTATTATTGATTGGATTAATTTCTATCCAAAATAAAGGAAAAAATAGTTGTTGGAGACTTTTGTATTATAGTAACATTTTAACATTGAACAGTGATTTAGTTTAATACAATTAGAGTTTTCAAACTCTCTTCGCCAACAAGTGATTTCGTCGACGTTGAAGAAAAGTTACATTGTCACAAAATAAGAAAATGATATAAATCTTAGCATGTATACAATACAGAACAAAACAAAAAAGATTGTTCACATTTATTCATAAAATCATAATCATATGATATGTTGAGTGTGCAAAAAAAGTTAGAAAAAAACACATCTACAAGAAACTAAGATGTGTTTCACAACTCTTACAATTATTTATTTCACTTCCGGCATTATTTTCAGAAACCCCTGAATGTATGTATATATGATGCCTGAAAGTTTTCTAAACCAAAAGCTTTTTTTGTTTACTTTTCACTTAGTGATCTCTTTAGTCACCGGAGGTATATCAACAACACCGTTACAGATTTCACCCTCTGGCGTCTCTTTTTCCTCTTCAGAAGTATCCTTAGGCCCCAAGAAACTTGGCTGATTCGTAGAAGATAATAGCCTTGCCCACATTCTGTCCGTAATCACCACATTGTTCTGTTTCTCTGTTATCCTCTGCATACAAAAAACAAAAGATCAAATCAGTACCAGCCCACCAGACCAACAAGATTAGTCCATTGCAACATATCCCTAGTCACAATTCAGATTGATTAGTAACTCACGTAGAAAGGGATGTATGTTTGTCTTCCATGGACAAGACCACTGGTGTAGCCAGTGTAACCAGCCATTGCACCATGAACCGCGCTCTGAGCAAGAAGTGTACAGTATACATTGTCTGCCGCATTGCTTGGAATCGCCCTAATCATGTATGTAGGATCTAAAACCAAGAAACAAGTACTGCGTTTAAAAAAAAAAGTAAATCCAACTAGTTGAAAAAGTAGTCATGATTTCTGTTACCAATATATTTGAGATTCATCACCATCTTGATCTTCTTGAAATGATCCTATCACCAGAAAAAAAAATGTAAGAAAAACTATTTGATGTAATGGCATAAGAGAAAGCTTTTGAGTTTTTTTTTTTTTTTTTTAATTTGGTTCACCTTGATGCATTGTGATAACCACAAGCCAACATCTTTAAGAACCTTGTTACCAGACGCGTCTGCAAGAGTGTTAGATTCCATGCTTTTGGACATCATTTCTTGTCCTGCTCCTTCAGCAAGAACAATCACCATGTGACCATTCTCCTTGAGCCGTTTCTCTATGTACTCAAAGAGTCCACCTTCTCCTTCAAGGTAAAATGGTGACTCTGGAATCAAGCAGCAATCAACATCTCTGCTTGCTAATGTAGCATACATCGCTATAAAACCTGTAGTAACATCTCCAAAGGGTTAAAACTGTAACGTTAAAGCAAAAAAGCACACAAGAAGATGAAAAACTTACCACTGTGACGACCCATAAGCTTAACAAAACCGATACCATTCTCATTACTCTCAGCTTCAACATGTGCTGCGTTGATAGCTCGTTGAGCTTCCTCCACAGCAGTGTCAAACCCAAAAGATCTATCTATTACTGGTATATCGTTATCAATCGTCTTCGGTATTCCAACCACAGCAACTTTAAGTCCTCGCCTTCTAATCTCCTACATGGTTTTAAACACAATACTTTCAGATGTTGAATGTTAAAAGCTCAACAAATTAATATTCTGATCTATCACAATGGTGTTACCTCATATATTTTTGATGCCCCTCTCTGTGTTCCGTCTCCACCAATAATGTAAACCTGGTTGATACCTCGATCTTGGATACTATCAACAATCTTAGTGGTATCATGTCCACCTCTTGAAGTCCCCAGGATTGTTCCTCCGCGTTTATGAATATCGTTCACGATTTTGGAGTTTAAAGGGATAGTATTCTTGGCATAGAACCCCTTGTATCCACCCTGTTTCAAATAAGAATCATTAGGACAATAGTTGTTGTGTATGTTTTCACAAATAGATTAGTTATGTAATGTTTGTCACAAAGCTTACATCGATTCCAAGGATTCTCTTGACTCCATACATGTATGATAAACTGCTCACGAGTTCTCTAATAACGGTATTGAGACCGGGACAGAGACCACCACATGTAACAATGCAAGCATGGACTTCATCAGACTCAAAGTAAACCTTTTGGCGTGGACCAGCGCGTCTGAAATGGATTCCTCTTGGACCATCCTTGTGGACTATAATCTGAATAACAATAACCAAAAAATAAAACATTTTCCTCAGTTTCAGGGCAGAATCTGTTCAATGACTATTTAGTAAAAAATCTTTTATTCATGATTTGGGGACCATCTCCATTTATTCAAAAAAATTAGGTGCTTGATGAATTTTACCTTCTCAGGTACAGTATCTTCAGTATCAACAAAGTATTGCCTGAAAAAAAAAACAAAAAAAACAAGAAAACCAAAATCAAAACTATGAACCGTTATTAAGCAATGAAAACGTCTAAAGATAAGGTGAAGAAAAACTTACTTAACCACTGAGTAAGCTGGATTGTCTTTTAATGGATTTGGATAAGTCTGCAAACAACATAAACCATGACAGATCAAAACATTTGAACCCCAAGATCATAATAACTCTTAGATGATGAGTAAAGATCAAGTGCAACGTACAGGAAGATCGGGAAGATAATCGATGAGATGAGGAACGTCCTGAAGTATATAACCACCAGGACCGTTGACGATCTTGGGACTAGACATAATCAGAAGATGTAAGAGAGTGAGAGACGAAGAACTTTTTTTTTTTTTTTTGCTTTTTTAGACAAGTAATCTTATCAAACAGGTGGTTGGCCTGAAAGAAAACTTTTATACGCGATTGGGTACAGGATTCTCGTGTATATATATATGTAAATGGAGGAAAAAGAACATTCAAACTTGGAGAAGATTATTCCAGAACAGTTTTAAGTTTCCATCTATTCACATAGTTGACTTGGGCCAAGAGAAAAAAAAAAATTGATCCCTAATATTGATATCGTTAGAAAAAAATACTAACTTTTTTAAGAATATGAACAATATTTTTATAAATATTATATTAAACTAAAAATAGGAAAATATATATTGAATCATTTTTAATATATTGTTAAAATACACTAGAACAAGGTTAACTTCCAGGCAATTGCAACTCTTGTTTCCCCTCTACTCTCCCGGCATGTTTCAACGTTGAAGGAATTTTTTTTTTTAACTGTACACTGAAGGAATATTCGAACATCAAAAATGGAAAAATATCTTAAGAAAGGACAAATCCAGTGCTACGTGTTGGCTATCTCTAATTTATGTTTGAATATTTCTTTAATAGTTTTATTAAGTCTATTTGCCGTGTGTTTTTTGGGTTACAAACTTGCAATATGCTTAAACAAGGGGAGAACCTGATTTAAATACTTTTAAAATACAAAAGAGTTGACGAGAGCCTATAAAGTTCATATTTATCAGATGACATATACTTGCTTATTTCGTTTTAAAATCAATAAAAAAATCATTTGTATATAATTATTTTTGGAAACAGCTCGCGTAGTGACAATACAAAACTATACACGTGAAACCGTATGATTCTCCGATTGTTCTATTGATCGACCAGTCAGTTTCTGAAAAATAATGCAATTGCTTGTCGAACCAGAATAAAATACTACTGGTGTAAAATGTGCAATAATGTGGCCGTTACTTCTGTTTTCTTAATACGACTTTCGTTAGTCTCACGCAAATAAAACTGCAGTCCCCTATAAAGATTAAAAAGATATACATGTCGAGTATAAAGATTAAAGATATACATGTCGAGTATATTGTTCGTTGACTATATTAAATCATATTTAGTATTCGAGTTGTATTAACTGTCGGAATGAAATTGGTCTCTGGAAAAAATAGAAAACAGAGTGGCCGTCCAGCATGTACGTGGCCGTGAGTCCCACCATAAGTTTCAAGAAACAGAATCGAAAAGGAGACTACGAGCTATTTGCGAAAGGCGAGCGGATAGATGGGCCTATTAAGCCCAGTATTAAATTCAGATTGTCACTTGTCAAATTAAGACCCAAAGCAACAAAACGGTATTACTGTTTTGAACAAACTTTGCAAAAACGAAAAATATAACAAAAGCTCAAAACTATTAAAAAATTGAGGTTGTATTTAAAACCAACAAAAATGAATTTATTAATTAAAGAATCAAGCTTTAAACCAAAAAATGAATTTATTAATTAATTACAATAAAGTCGAAAATTATTTTCACCCTTTTAAGCTTACTGATTTCCAAGATTTTGAAATAATGTGATTTCACACACATATTAATGAAAATATACTAGTGAATAATTTTTTAAAAAAATTTTATATCAAGGAGATTGATGATATTTTAAATGCTTACTTCATTATTGGGGTTGATTGAAAGAGATGTAGAGATCGTATTAATAACTTTTTTTTTACATCTTTCATGAACTAGTTATGATTTAAATTCTAAAACTGAATCAATAACCAACGTATTATGAAACAAAATATGTGAATTCTGAAAATTAGGTTTTACAGTTTTTGTTTAGTGATTTAATGTTTTTGAAAATAATTCTATAGTAAAAATGTTAACCGAGAAAACGGCCAAGAACTTTAAAATTAAAAAAGTTTATTCAACTTTAAAATATTGACTATTTTAACTCTCATATTATATTGATTCGGTTATTTACAAAAATCTGATAGTCAATTGTTAAATTTGCTTAAAGAAATAAATGTATTTGAACTTTTTAAACAACATTATTTTATAAACTGATTAAAAATTAGTCAAACAACGTTATTTTATTTTTTGTAAACACTTAAACTATTTTATTCGTGAAACTAGAGTTTCAAATTGACTTTATTTCCTTATTTTCAAATGAGAAAGATAAAATTGAACAAGATCCTTTATAGAAAAGTTAACAGTGTTTAAAGAGGTAACATGCATCTATTTTTATTTTTCCCACCAAGTCCTTCAAATGAAGTTTTATAATGATTTCATAATTTTGTTTTAATTTACACTAGGTGTTGACCGGCGCCCTGCGCGGAGTGAGATGACGTTGACTTTGATCAAACAATAATTTGGTATATTAATTTGTTTAATTGAAGAATAGGTAGTGGATGTGAATCTGTAATAAAAAACATATAGTCATATAATGAGAAATTAGTATAGCTGCGAAACAAAACAATGATTCATAGAATATTGTTTTCAATATTTTTCTTATAGTTATATGATGATACAAAAAACTAAAAAAAAATCGACTACTAAAAAAACAGTACAAAATAAATAAAAACAAGTAATAGGAAAATAAAACATAGAAAAATAAAACATGATATAATGAGAAAAAATTATATTAAAACAAAATAAGAAATATAAAAGTAAACATGATATAATAAGAGAAATTGTCTTCAAAACTCCTATTACATATATTAATTTCAAGAAGTAACTTGGTAGGACAAAAGGAGAAATAGAATAAAACAGTAAGATTGATGTCGAAATGAACTTATTCTAGCATCGAGGAAGACCATTTCGATAATCTCCCCAACAACTACGGAATACTGTTTCCAAAGGCGGATAATTTTGACTTGCACCTTTCACATGTTCTTGAAAAGCTTCAACTCAGAGATAAGGTTCATGGCAGCCATAGAAAATGCAGGAGTGTTTATGGTTGCTTGTGTGCCTTAATGGACGTATAGACGTTTGGTTATATATGTGTAAGAGATATTTATTTTAGTATATTAACAACGATTTGTGCTTGTCTATCAAGCAAGCAATAATTTAGGATATATTTACTTCAGAATATTATATATAGGTGATTAAATTTCATATGGAAAGAGAGCATTAAACGGTTCGACTAATTTGAATAAAACGTGATTGATTTACTTGATATACTTGATTGACTTTCATACGATTTGTTCTCATATAAATTTTTGTGTGATTTCATTCATTTTAGCCTCATAAATTTTCGTGCATATAAGGGAAACTGATACTACGGATAAATATATAGGAAACTGAAATACGCATCCAGATTCGGCCATTAAATTTGATTGAACATAATTGTAGCCACTACTAATACTACTCATGCATATTAGGGAAACTGAAAATCTCATATATGATTACAAATACCAAATGTCACGGGCTCCATTTATGTTTCATTACTATACATTTAATCAAATGCGGCAGTGTATGTGTGTATGCATGTTTATATCAGATACGTTTAATGATTAAAAACCATACGTTTCGGTATGAATAAAATCATGTTTAAATATAAAATATAAAATTTAAATATATGACCAGTGGACAATAAGGACTTATAAAATAAGGTGATAGCATTTACGATTTTTATTTGTACTTATATTATAAAGATGATAGGCACCTATATGTAACGAAATATATTTTCAATAAATCGTAGAAAAACATGTAACAAAATCGTTCTACATGCATGTTGAATAAATAGTAGTTCAATATATCTTTGACACCAAATGTTTATCATCTAGTGAGTCATCCCTTGAAGAGCATAGAATCAGAAAGAATGTAAATAATATTCTTCAAACCGATTGAGGTGAGGAGTAAATGTGCCATTGCCATTGCTATATCAAATCATATACTTATTAATTGTTATGGGTACTGTTGTTTTATGTACGTTATAATGTAAATAATAATGTTTTCAGCAATGGCATGTTGTGTAATTACTCTAATTAACTAAGGTTTTTTAGCTAAAAGAGGTGAGAGAGTTTGTGGAGTTGCCACGTAGGAAATGACATGGTTGTAATAAACACATGAGGTAAATGTTTGTTTTCAAAAGTTCTCCTCCAATAATGAGTAGGGGATTAATTTAGTAGGAAATTTTGGATGTTTGTATTGATTGAGGACAACAACTCAGTAGTCATGATCGTATTTAGGCATGGCCCACAAATGTCCAATAAAGTCTACTTCCGCACGACGTTATTTCCACGCCATCTCCACAACATTCCGATTACCACAGAAGAAAAGAGGAAGCATACGAAGATGTCGTGGCAGTCTTACGTTGACGACACATTGATGAGCGATCTCGGGAATGGCCGCTGCCTCACCGCCGCCGCAATTCTCGACTTTAGTGGTGACGTCTTGGCTCAGAGCGCTAATTTCCCTCAGGTAAGGGTTTGTTTCTTCACCCAGTGCTGGTTCATATTAAACTATGCACGTTTGGTGTTGTCTACTAAGTTTCTCTATTAACAGATTTGAATCATTTTAGTTCAAACCTTTATAGACAAAAAGTTGTGACTTAAAAAGGAAACTAATAAGCTTCACATGCGTTGACTTTTGTTGCTATTGTTTTTAGTTGAAGCCTGAGGAAATCGATAGCATCAACAAAGGTTTCGCTGAACCTGAAACGCTTGCCGAAACGGGTTTGTTCATCAATGAGGAAAAGTACATGGTAACCCCAGAAGAGGCAGGCGATGTGATTCAAGCAAAGAAGGTGTGAACTTGACGAACTATTTTTATTTTGTTGTTTATATGAACCAGTGTCAATTTTTTTGTTTCCATTGTAGGGAGCTGGTGGTGTTACCATCAAGAAGACCGTCACGGCTTTAATCTTTGGTATCTATGAGGAACCAGTAACTCCTCGACAGTGTACTATAATTGTGGAGAATCTGGGTAACTATCTGGCTGATTCAGGGTACTGAAACCCATGTTGCTGTCATATGCATATGGCTCATGTTCTATTTGTATTTGGAATGTGATTTGATCAAATAAAAGTCAGACTGTCTATGACCGGCTACCATATGTGATTATGCGTTGTATGACTATAACTGGTATTGTCTTCAAACTATACTTGTGTGAATTGCCACTAAAATAGATTCAGATCACAAGATCATACGCATGTGATTGCATTATGAGTTTTCAGATAGAATGTCTGTACACAAGTTCGGTCCATAGCATAGGCAAAGTAATCATTTATCTAGGGTCCAAACTATTTTTAAGCTATTTTACCATAAGAAAAATGGCCCAAAAATATTTTGAATTTTGTTAACTTAAAAGAAAAGGACCTACATTTTTAATTTGACTGGGACCTTTAATTAGTTTGGGCCGTCACTGTCTGTACATCAATTCCACTGCAGACAAAATTTTTGTTGGTCACAGATTCTAGACCAAACCGTTGAGGGGAACAAGTCTTACTATTGCTACAACATTACGAGTCTTCTTTCAGGTTCTGGGTTACAACGCAGGTGAATTCATAAGACAGAGTCTCGAAATCCATTTTGTTTCCACGTGAAGCTGAAGCAGAAGAGGTCAATGCAGTTGTATTCATTGCCTTAGTTTTGCTCCTGCAGAAGATTTTTAATCAACATTAGTAAGAATATGTATAATGTATTACCCGCCTGCATTATGTATATGCATTTGTCATAACCTGTACCAACATTGAACCAGGTTCAAGTTAAACCAAGACTCTAGATTTGTGATTTTGCAGAAGCCAAAGGATTCTTTGGGTTCAGTTATGGTTTTGCATTTATGATTTGTTTGGGTGTAAAAAGACGAGACACGAAATGTTACTGTAAAAAAAAACCCTTTTCCCTACATATAACACTTCTTTCAATTCCAAAAAAAACATACAGATGGTTAGCGCTCCAAAAATACCGGAGATAACCGATTGAATATGTCTGAGGGGAATATATTTTAAACCGTACTTAAGACTAATGGGTCGATTAAGGGCCCATTTAAATCTTACTTGGATAATTGTACACAGCCCGTTTTATAATATTAATTAATTTTCCCGGTCTCACGCGTTCAAAATTAATGTCCGTTACCACGAAGAATCGTCGTCTTCTCTCCACTCCCCACACTCTCTTTCTAGAAAAAAAACTGCTTATTTATAAACCCTAGAGTGAGAGAGAGAGCGATAATCCGTAGATGGCGCCGATGAAGCTCAAATCAAACTTGAAGCAGCTTAAACTCTCCGTCCCAGCTCAAGAAACCCCAATCTCTTCCTTCTTGTAAGTTCTTCCTTTTCTCTCTAAACGATTAGAAATCGCACTTCTGATTTCGCCACAAATAAATTCAGATTGATTGTACTAATATCTGTTTTTGTGATTTGAATTTCATCGAATTCAATTGAAATCTCAAAAAGGAAAGAAACTTAATCGTATTGGTTTTCATAGCTACAGTGTGGAAACTTGTTTGTTTAATTGGTGAATGCGTACAGGACTGCAAGTGGAACGTTTCACGATGGAGATTTTCTGCTAAACCAGAAGGGGCTAAAGCTGACCTCAGATGAGAAGCAATCAACGGTAAACTTCACTTACCTTAAACATTAATCCATTGTTTTTTTTTTTTTTTTGTGCACCTAATCCATTGTTGTATATAAGAAGCAAGTAAAGGCAATTCCTTTTGTTTTTATTGTTGTTGTTGTTTTATAGCCATCTGATAGTAAGGAGCTTGATTTCGAAATCACTGCTGAAGACTTAGAGACTGTGAAAGTCATAGGAAAAGGCAGTGGTGGTGTTGTTCAATTAGTTCGACATAAATGGGTTGGCAAACTATTTGCTATGAAGGTATGCTTTTTTTATTATTATTACAACTTCTTCTCTTAATTGTATCTATATATGACATAGGAATATATGACATAGGAAGCAGGAAAGTTTTGGACTTGAGGTATAAGAATATTTGGGTTTGAGTTTGATTGTTTTTATGAATCACAGGTTATACAGATGAATATAAGAGAAGAAATCCGAAAGCAAATTGTGCAGGAGCTCAAAATTAACCAAGCGTCGTCTCTTTGTCCACATGTTGTTGTCTGCTACCACTCTTTCTATCACAATGGAGCCTTCTCCCTTGTGCTTGAGTACATGGACCGTGGATCTCTTGCGGATGTGATACGACAAGTGAAGACTATTCTTGAGCCTTACCTTGCTGTTGTCTGTAAACAGGTCCCATTGAAACTTCCTAGACTCCACCAAATGGTTCAGAGCCTTTTATATGATTGATCACTCTTTTACTTATTTTTTCCTCTCTTGTAAACAGGTTTTGAAAGGGCTTGTGTACCTGCACAACGAAAGACATGTCATACACAGAGACATTAAACCATCAAACCTTCTTGTAAACCATAAAGGAGAAGTGAAAATCTCGGATTTTGGTGTCAGTGCAAGTCTTGCTAGCTCCATAGGACAGAGGGATACATTTGTTGGAACCTACAACTATATGTCGGTACGAAAACATTCCAACATCACTAACTTTGAAAAGAAACACTTCGTGTATCAATTTCTTCCATGTCATTGAGTAGTAGCTCTTGTTTATTAACATACATAACCATGTCTCTTTTTTACTTCTTCACTTTACAGCCTGAGAGGATCAGTGGAAGCACATATGACTACAGCAGCGACATCTGGAGTTTGGGCATGTCAGTGTTAGAATGTGCAATAGGAAGATTCCCGTATTTAGAATCTGAAGATCAGCAAAACCCGCCTAGCTTTTATGAGCTTTTGGCAGCAATCGTAGAGAATCCACCACCAACTGCTCCTTCTGATCAATTCTCACCAGAGTTCTGCTCCTTTGTATCCGCCTGGTTAGTGGTGACACATTATATGCATGGAAACACAGAAACAATTAATACTAATGGTTCTTCTTTACATTTCAAACAGCATACAGAAAGATCCTCCAGCAAGAGCATCATCCTTGAACCTCTTGGTAAGTAATTCTTACTCACCACTCTCTGTTTCCTCTCTTGGTAACAACCTTGAGGATCTTTGATGAAACGTGCGAATTTTGTTAATGTTCACAGAGTCATCCGTTCATTAAAAAGTTCGAGGAGAAGGATATTGATCTCGGGATACTTGTTGGCACTTTGGAACCACCTGTTAACTACCTTAGATAAGTAAGTCTTCTTCTCTTCTTCTGCATTTTGGTGTATGATATGATATGATAAGATGCATGATGTGTAATGTGTTTCTAAAGTTTACGATTACTTGACAATCAAAATTGAATGAGATTTTATTATTCATTACCTTCTTCCCTTAATATGAAATAGGCACATTTTGGTCGAGTATGTGATAAAATAGACTTATCCTCACCCAAATCATGACATTTCATAAAGATACTTTATCAAAGGAATAAGAATGTCTTGACATGAGAACTTGAGAGATCTTATATAAAGGAGACGAGTCATTTTCTTGAACTGCAGAGAGGGTATGAATCTTATATGTAGATTAACATGTAGGCAGAAAAATGCTCTGTTCTCACAAAATAAATATCTAGAGATTCGGAATATAAAACACATAAACACCAAAAATAAAGTCAGAAAAAAGGTAAAAGAACCTTAAGAATCTCATAGGTCTTCCAGAGACAGACAGACACACGCACCATCACATAAAGAGTTTAGTCAAACAATAATCGACATGTCTCTGAAACTCTGTTCAGTTTCTTTAACTTCTTGAGCATACGGTGATGTTTGTTTCTACATCTTGTTGAGAATGTCGCCATCTTTAGACAAGTAGCGTTTGCTAGTATGTAGGCAGCCACATTCCTCTCTTGCTCTGTGCCTTCATATTGTCTCCATTCCATGATCTCTAGATGCGTCGATAAACATTCTGGAACAGATGCTGGTTTATTCCAGAGGATCATCGGATCATTGTAATGGGCACGATGTTGCTGAGACGAAAAAAAGAGAGAGAAACATTATGTGATAGTTTTATAGGTCGTTATTGTAATGTTCATATAACATACTACATACCGACTTAAGCTTGAGATGTTTGAGTCTTGGAGCATCGTTGAGTATACAAACAAGTAGATTGGCCCAGCCAGCAGAACATGTACACAGCTCTAGATGTTCAAGATAAGGGAAGGTAGTGCCACTAGGATATGGAGTCTGCAAATTGAAGTATGAATAGCTCATTATATTGAAAACAATTTAACATAGCAGGAGAATCTAGAGATAGAGATTAAGTAACAAAGTTTTTTACCTCTGAAGATAGAGAACAGAAAGAGAGATGACGGATTGAGGTAAGAGACCCTATGAACTTCTTAGTCTGGCCACATATAACTTGGATATTAGCTTCGGTCACCTCCGGCATATGTTCAAACATTAGAAAGTTACTGAATGTATCTTTAAAGTTCATTTTCTCCAAAGAAGGAGCATTTATCACAAACCCATGATTCTCCTCGACGTAGGAGCGTTCCCCTTTCGAGTTATCGATAGATAAGCTCCTCAAATAAGGTGCATCGATGTTGAATATCACCACATTGTCATCTCTGGTTTTGTTTATAACCAAATCTTCAAGAACCGGGCACCTTACTATAAGCTTTGCAAAGGATTCGTCCCCCAAGAATTTAACCGATAAAAGGTGTAGACTCTTGAGTGATGGCAAACAAAACCAAACCGGAACATCCATGAACATCACATTGTCGTCTTTGGTTTGGTCTACAACCAAACATTCAAGAACAGGGCAAATTGGTAAGAAACTTGCAATGGATGTATCACTAGAGAACTTGACAGATTTAAGGTGCAGAGTTTTGAGAAATGGCAAGCGAGACCAAGGCAGATCCACCTTAATACTTAGTTCACTGAGGATCAACGTTTTTAGTGTTGTGCAACTACTCAGAGTCAACTCATTACTATCGAATACTTTTGTTTGTTTCACAACCAAATCTTCAAGAACAGGACAGATTCTTATAAGAGTTTCAACAGATTCGTAGTCCGGGAAACTACTCGAAAGAAGGTGCAAACTTTTGAGTGAGGACAAAAGACACCAAGGAGGAAGAGTCTTGAACATCACAGCCTTTACAACCAAATATTCAAGATCCGGACATGCTTGTAAAAAACTTGCAAGACACTCCTTGCCTGAGAACATAACCATGAAAAGGTGCAGACTCTTGAGAGATGGCAAACGAAAGCAAGAAGGAACAACCTTGATAGTTACTTGCTTGAGTATCAGTGACTTTAGGGTTACGCAAGTACTCAAGCAACTCGG